GAAGATCCTGATAGTTCAGAGACCAGGATGTTGGAAAGGGTGAGACGGTAAACTGCAGGGACTATGTGGTCCTGGATCTCCCAGTACAGGACATGGAGACAGACTTCCTACCAACACACATGAAGGTGTGACTTCAAAGCGATGAAAAGAGGTTCCTGGTAATTTTATCTGGACACAGATCCAATCACCAGTGAGGCCACTGTAAACTCTGACCAATAAGTAAGCTGTGAGACTGGACTAAGTTTGATTTGGGTTCCTCTAAGTTACAAATGGGGCTGCGTGGGTGCAGGAGGGTGGAGAGGAGCTACTCCACGTTCAAGGTCAGGAGCGGCGGCCATGAGGAGATACCCTCATCCAAGGTAAGGAGCAGCGGCTGCGCTTTGCTGGAGCAGCCGTGAAGAGATACCCCACGTCCAAGGTAAGAGAAACCCAAGTAAGACGGTAGGTGTTGCGAGAGGGCATCAGAGGGCAGACACACTAAGACCATAATCACAGAAAACTAGCCAATGTGATCACACGGACCACAGCCTTGTCTAACTCAGTGCAACTAAGCCATGCTGTGTGGGGCCACCCAGGACGGACGGGTCAGGGTGGAGAGATGAGACAGAATGTGGTCCACTGGAGAAGGGAATGGCAAACCACTTCAGTATTCTTGCCTTGAGAACCCCATGTTAGTTCCTCAGTCATGCCCGACTCTTTGCAACCCATGGACTGCAACCCACGCTCCTCTGTCCATGGAATTTTCCAGGCAAGGATACTGGAGTGGTTTACCATTTCCTTCTCCAGGGGATCTTCCTGACCCAGGGATTGAACCTGGGTCTTCTGCACTGCAGGCAGATTCTTTACCGACTGAGCTACCAGGGAAGCCCATGAACAGTATGAGAAGGCAAAATGATAGGATACTGAAAGAGGAACTCCCCAGGTCGGTAGGTGCCCAACAGGCTACTGGAGATTAGTGGAGAAATAACTCCAGAAAGAATGAAGGGATGGAGGCAAAGCAAAAACAATAGCCAGTTGTGGATGTGACGGGTGATAGAAGCAAGGTACGATGCTGTAAAGAGCAATATTGTATAGGAACCTGGAATGTTAGGTCCATGAATCAAGGCAAATTGGAAGTGGTCAAACAGGAGATGGCAAGAGTGAACATCGACATTATAGGAATCAGCGGACTAAAATGGACTGGAATGGGTGAATTTAACTCAGATGACCATTATATCTACTACTGTGGGCAGGAATCCCTTAGAAGAAATGGAGTAGCCATCATGGTCAACAAAAGAGACCAAAATGCAGTACTTGGATGCAATCTCAAAAATGACAGAATGATCTCTGTTCGTTTCCAAGGCAAACCATTCAATATCACAGTAATCCAAGCCTATGCCCCAACCAGTAACACTGAAGAAGCTAAAGTTGAACAGTTCTATGAAGACCTTTTAGAACTAACCCCCCCAAAAGATGTCCTTTTCATTATAGGGGACTGGAATGCAAAAGTAGGAAGTCAAGAAACACCTGGAATAACAGGCAAATTTGGCCTTGGAGCACAGAATGAAGCAGGGCAAAGGCTAATAGAGTTTTGCCAAGAGAATGCACTGGTCATAGCAAACACCCCCTTCCAACAACACAAGAGAAGATTCTACACATGGACATCACCAGATGGTCAACACTGAAATCAGATTGATTATATTCTTTGCAACCAAAGATGGAGAAGCTCTATACAGTCAGCAAAAACAAGACTGGGAGCTGACTGTGGCTCAGATTATGAACTCCTTATTGTCAAATTCAGACTTAAATTGAAGAAACTGGGGAAAACCACTAGCCCATTCTGGTATGACCTAAATCAAATCCCTTATGATTATACAGAGGAAGTGAGAAATAGATTTAAGGGACTAGATCTGGTAGACAGAGTGCCCGATGAACTATGGATGGAGGTTTGTGACACTGTACAGGAGACAGGGATTAAGACCATCCCCAAGTAAAAGAAATACAAAAAAGCAAAATGATTGTCTGAGGAGGCCTTACAAATAGCTGTGAAAAGAAGAGAAGTGTAAAGCAAAGGAGAAAAGGAAAGATATTCCCATTTGAGTACAGAGTTACAAAGAATAGCTCGGAGAGATAAGAAAGCCTTCCTCAGTGATCAATGCAAAGAAATAGAGGGAAACAACAGAATGGGAAAGACTACAGATCTCTTCAAGAAAATTAGAAATACCAAGGGAACAGTTCATGCAAAGATGGGCTCAATAAAGGACAGAAATGGTATGGACCTAACAGAAGCAGAAGATATTAATAAGAGGGGGCAAGAATACACAGAAGAACTGTACAAAAAAAGAGATCTTCATGACCCAGATAATAATGATGGTGTGATCATTTACCTAGAGTCAGACATCCTGGAATGTGAAGTCAAGTGGGCCTTAGAAAGCATCATTACGAACAAAGCAGTGGAGGTGATGGAATTCCAGTTGAACTATTTCAAATCCTAAATGATGATGCTGTGATGAGTGATGCTGCACTCAATATGCCAGCAAATTTGGAAAACTCAGCAGTGGCCACAGGACTGGAAAAGGTCAGTTTTCATTCCAATCCCAAAGAAAGGCAATGCCAAAGAATGCTCAAACTTTCACACAATTGTACTCATCTCACACGCGAGTAAAGTAATGCTCAAAATTCTCTAAGCCAGGCTTCAGAGATACATGAACTGTGAACTTCCAGATGTTCAAGTTGGATTTAGAAAAGGCAGAGGAACCAGAGATCAAATTGCCAACATCTGTCAGATTACCAAAAAAGCAAAAGTGTTCCAGAAAAACATCTGGAAAACATCTGAAAAACATCTGGACTGGTTGGATCTCCTTGCACTCCAAGGGATTCTCAAGAGTCTTCTCCAACATGACAGTTCAAAAGCATCAATTCTTCGGTGCTCAGCTTTCTTTATAGTCCAGCTCTCATATCTGAAGAAGCAAGAGAGTTCCAGAAAAACATCTATTTCTGCTTTATTGACTATGCCAAAGCCTTTGACTGTGTGGATCACAATAAACTGTGGAAAATTCTGAAAGAGATGGGCATACCAGACCACCTGACCTGCCTCTTAAGAAACCTGTATGCAGGTCAGGAAGCAACAGTTAGAACTGGACATGGAACAACAGACTGGTTCCAAATAGGAAAAGGAGTAAGTCAAGGCTGTATATTGTCACCCTGCTTATTTAACTCATATGAAGAGTACATCATGAGAAACGCTGGGCTGGAAGAAGCACAAGCTGGAATCAAGATTGCTGGAAGAAATATCAATCACCTCAGATATGCAGATGACATTACCCTTATGGCATAAAACAAAGAAGAACTAAAAAGCCTCTTGATGAGAGTGAAAGAGGAGAGTGAAAAAGTTGGCTTAAAGCTCAACATTCAGAAAACTAAGATCATGGCATCTGGTCCCATCACTTCATGGCAAATAGATGGGGAAACAGTGGAAACAGTGTCAGACTTTATTTTTTTGGGCTCCAAAATCACTACAGATGGTGATTGCAGCCATGAAATTAAAAGACGCTTACTCCTTAGAAGGAAAGTTATGACCAACCTAGACAGCATATTAAAAAGCAGAGACAATACTTTGCCAATAAAGGTCCGTCTAGTCGAGGCTATGGTTTTTCCAGTGGACATGTATGGATGTGAGAGTTGGACTGTGAAAAAAGCTGAGTGCGGAAGAATTGATGCTTTTGAACTGTGGTGTTGGAGAAGACTCTTGAGAGTCTCTTGCACTGCAAGGAGATCCAAGCAGTCCATCCTAAAGGAGACCAGTCCTGGGTGTTCATTGGAAGGACTGATGCTGAAGCTGAAACTCCAATACTTTGGCCACCTCATGTGAAGAGTTGACTCATTGGAAAAGACCCTGATGCTGGGAAAGATTGAAGGCGGGAGGAGAAGGGGACGACAGAATGAGATGGTTGGATGGCATCACCGACTCAGTGGACACAAGTTTGAGTAAGCTCTGGGAGTTGGTGAGGGACAGGGAGGCCTCACGTGCTGTGATTCATGGGGTCGCAAAGAGTCAGACACGACTGAGCGACTGAGCTCAACTGAACTGAAGTTACAAGTGAGTACCTTGATTAACACAAGAAACATTTTGGTTCTGATTTTTATTTAAGGAGAATGTGGATTTAATTAAATTAATTTCAGAAACAGGCAGCTGAATTCTTTGAACAGTATGACTTCTTTCTGGTTCAACATGTATTTATAATTCACATTTTATGTTCTATCCATTTAAGTCCACTAATGTCAGCAAATAAACAGTTTTTACTCCCATTCAAGTACTATTTTTTTAACTTTTATTTTTAATTGGAGGATAACTGTTTTACTACAAGTACTATTTTAAAATACCACTTTGTATTAATTGTTATCAGTAATGCCATGTTCAGTATCAAAAATCTAATGATAAAAAAAAAGCATAAAAAAGTACTAATTTAAACAATTAGGGTTAAATTAATACATCAGGCATTTCTTTCCACATATTCATGTAGACTCTTGAGACATATGTTGGATTTGATAATCTATTGGGGACCACCTTCAGTATTTAAGAATACAAGGTGTGTTCTGTGGATGTAGTGAGTCCCTGGTAAAGGAGTCACCTATGGTCTTCCCGGTGGCTCAGGTGCTAAAGAGCTAGCCTGCAATGCAGGAGACCCGGTTTGATCCCTGGGTTAGGAAGATCCCCTGGAGAAGGAAATGGGAACCCACTCTAGTATTCCTGCCTGGGAAATCCCATGGACAGAAGAGCCTGGTGGGCTACAGTCTATGGGGTCACACAGAGTTGGACACAACTGAGTGACTAATACTTTCACGGTGGAATGCAGACCCTTTGCATTTATCCTCTGTAAGGGGTATTTTAGGAACCCTGCTATAGCTGAAAATGCATGATGAAGAGATTGCAGTTACACCGTTCAATGCCTAGGTCAAGTGAAACGTCTCCCAGTTTACATTGGAATTAGGTTACTCGTGGGGGCAGAAAGCACGCTTACCTCCTCGTTCTCGATCTTGAGCGTGGCCAGGCGGGACTGCAGCTGTTGGTGCCTCAGCATGAGCTCCGCTTGGACTGGTTGCTGGGCGCTGACCTGGCACACCTATTGGGGGTCAGAGAGCGGTTAGGACAGGGCGCGCTGCAGCCAGGCTCCCGAGGCACGGCTCTCCCACGAAAAGGCTGCAAGAGCCGCAGACCCCTTCAAGAGTCCAGTGACATAGTTTACTTTCAACAGCCACCTCAACACTCCAGTGTTAGATGTGAACTTGTTACGTAAGTGGTGAGAGTGGGATGCGGCTGCTTGGCCTGGATAAGACGGGGAAGAGAGCGGCTGTAGGAAGCCTCCCTTGAAGAATGGGGCAGTTGCTGGTGACGGAGTTCTGATGCTGACGCCTATCTTGTGGAATAAGTGCCTGGCAGAGTGTGAAGGATGATCCAAACCTATGGTCATGCAGGCAGAGTAGGGCAGGTGGCAGAGCCTACCAATTAGAGTCGGCTGGGTGACTGTGCTAAGTTACTAAACCTCAGTTTCCTAGTCTGTAAAATGGGCACAGTAAGAGTACCTGTGCCATAGGGTCGTGGTGGGGATGAAAATGGGATGATGTTCATGAAGCACTTACAGCACTGCTTGGCACACACTGAAAACTCAGAAAAAGTGCTATTTTCTGTATCTTTCATCCATGGCTTTTCTTGCCAATTATCAGCCAAATCATTAAACTGAAAAAGTCACCAGTCTTAGGCTTTGGGAGAAAGATATTTTGGCCACAATCTTAATTAGGGTAAAAAAATAGAGACTTTTAATTATAATAGAATCAGATTAGAAACAAACAATTTCTTCTCATCTTTCTGGTCACAGAAATGGTCTTGGCAGATGAGGGTTTCCTTTTATGGAGTCTCTAAGACACATCATAGACCCTATTGCTCACAGGCAGAATGGCCCTAAAAAAGGGCAAGAGGCTTACTATATTAAAATAAAAAAGTAAAAACTTTGAACCCAACTGAAATCACTTGTCTGTGACATTTTATCATCCTGTGTCTAACATATCCGTCCATAACCAAAAGATTAAAACAGTAACCAATTGGTTTTGGAAACAAAACTCTGGGTGGGATAAGCCACTTGCCCGTAAAATTCATGTGCGACTGGCATAAAAACTGCTTACCACTTTTAATCAAGTAATTCACTCTATCAAATCAAGCAAAAATAAAATTAGGTTAGAAATATATCAGGTACGTACATACATACATATCTTTTAAATTTTAACATTAGGTGTTCCAAAGAAATTATGGCATTAAAGGAGAAATCTGCCATGAAAATTATAATTAACATCTATTTTTTAAAACATACTGTCACCACAATAAGCTAAAATTGAGTTTTTAATCTATGAGTATTGTTTTGCACAGCTGGGACACTGAGTGCTATATAGCATGCTCCAATAATTGGTTTTTCTTGTTTCCTCCTGTTCACAGACAATAAATATACCACTGTCACTCATAAATGGTTTAAATGGATTCTCTCCTTGCACAGAATAAGACAAAGCTAAATTCATATGAAGAACCTAAGATAATACATCGTTTCTAATGCTCATTTTAACAGTCTGGAGATAACTTGAGTCTTAAAAAAATGTTTTGTATCTTTTTTCCTCTCTCTCATTTTCCTGCCATTTGTAATTATTTTTCTTTATGGGGATCTTTAAATCAGGATTATAAGAAGTCTTCAGATGGCTTCTATTAGGCCAACAAAATGTTTTGTTTTAAACTTATATTTGAAAATCTTGAGGGAAAGGAAGAACTCATTAATTATCCTTCAACAGTTTCGTGCTTACAGGCAAGCCAGTTTGCACCTCCATCTCTTTGTCCTCTGGAGGCATTGGAGAGTTTGACCCTTGCTTTAAAAAGTGATAGTGGCTGATCACAGAGTGTTATGCTAAAATCCCATGCAAAGGCAGGAGAAATCAACTGAGAATTCTTAAATTGCTGGGTACAGCAGGGGAAGAGTAATGTAAGTTTAGAGACAATTCATTATTTTTAAATTATACTCAAATACTGACCTCATCACCCATGTGAGACTGAAACTCAAACTTCATTGGTGGGCAGAACGCAGCAGGGTACATCTCCATGAATCTCTGCTTATCACTCCTGGGCTCCAAATTGTCAACTGCATTCTCAATAATGTCTAAGCCCTCATGTCTGGAGGTTTCAAGGTTATACTCCGCAGAGAGATAGGTTCGCAGGGCTCTGTTTAGACTTGCATGGTAGCCAAGATCGCAGCACTTAAAAAAATAAAAGGAAATCATATACAAAAATTAACTAAAAGTGGACCAAAGACCAAGGTGGGACAGCCAGAAAACTACAAAATTCTTAGGAGTAAACTCTTCACTACCTTTCAACTGGCCTTGCTTTCTGGGATCAGTATCAAAACACAATCAACAAAAGAAAAAATAAATTGGGTTTCATCATATTTGAAGACTTTTGTGTTTCAAAGGGCACTATCAAGTAAAAAGAAAACCCACAGAATGGGAAAAATATTTTTCTCATCACGTTATCCAATTAGGAATTGGGATCTAGATAATATAAAGACCTCTGATGACTCAATAATAAAAAGACAACCCAACTAAGAAATGGGCAATGAATCTGCTAGATATTTCCCAAAAAGGAAAAAAAATATAAATGGTCAATAAGCATGTGAATAGATACTGAACATGATAAGTAATCAGGGAAATGCAAGTCAAAACCACACTGAGATACCACTAAGACAGCTATGATCAAAAAGATAATAACAGGATTGGGGAGGATGTAGAGAAACTGGAATCCTCATACATTGCTGATGGGAAGGTAAAGCATTGCAGCCGCTTTGGAAAAGAGTCTGACAGGTCAAAAGGTTAATAAACACAGAGTTAACATATGATTTGGCAATTCCACTCTTAGGTATACATACAAGACAAATAAAAATATACTTTCACACAAAAACTTGTACATGAATGTTTATAGCAGCATTATTAACAACTGAATGGAAATAACCTAGATGCCCATCAACAAATAAATAAACAAAAGGAAATATTGTTGTTCAGTCGCTCAGTCGTGTCCAACTCTATCTAACCCCATGGACGGCAGCAAACAAGGCTCCTCTGTTCATGGGATTCTCCAGGCAAGAATACTGGAGTGGGTTGCCATTTCCTTCTCCAAAGGAAATCTTATACAGTCATAAAAAGGAACAAACTATTGATAACATGCTACAACATGGATCAGCCTTGAAATAGTATACTAAGTGAGTCAGTCACAAGAGACCACACATCGTATGGCTCCATTTATATGAATGTCCAGAAGAGGCAAGTTTATAGAGACAGAAAGTAAGTTAGTAGTTGCTCAGAGACAGAAGAAAAATTAGGGGATAAAGGAATTAGGAAGTGATGGCTAAGGAGTACAGGACTTTTGGAGTAATGAAAATGTTCAAAAATTGTTTTGTGGCAATATATACACAACTCTGTGAATATAGTAAAAGCCAACTGTGGATTTTTAATGAGTTAACTGTAGGGTATGTGAATTATATCTCAATAAAGCTATTAAAAATACACGAAGCAAAATCAAATATTGAAAGGAAATAATAAAAAATAGCATTCAAGTTTGTTCATGTACACTGAAATTGATACAGTGATTTTCTGAAGTCCTTCTAGGATGTAAACATACTAACTGTAACATTTTGATATCTGTATAATTTACTGAAGACAATACTAAAGTACACTCTTTCAGAAATGGGAAGAACAGGTTTGAATCTGCCTAAACACCCCAGGAATGCCTACTTTCTTACCTCCAGAATAAAATTTTTAAGTAAGAAATGATTGTCAAAGTCCTTTTACTGGAGATAGAATTTTGTTTAATACTCCTGGGCATACCAGGGCTTTGTCTTCTTGAATCTTCACTACCTTTGATTTATATTTATTTTTTCACATTGCATTTTAAGGGTATACTTTTAAAAGGAAAACAAGTATGAATATTGGCCAATTACAAATTACTGACAGAGTATTAAATCTGTACATAAAAGCAATACAAATATAAAACTAGTGGTTTTAAATATACAAAAGCAGGTCATTCTTATACAGTTCTCATGAAATTCAATCAATTCAATTTGATTCAATTCAGTTCAGCTCACTAATTGGCCATCTATAGATTCCTGGGCATTTGCTAGGCTCTAGGAATATGAAGACTAAGAACAGGAGTCCCCAACCTCCAGTATCTAATGCCTGATGATCTGAGGTTGAGCTGGTGTAATCATAACAGGAAAAAAGTACACAGTAAATATAATGTGCTTGAATCATCCTGAAACCATCCTCTGCTCAAGTCTGTGGAAAGATTTTGTCTTCCATGAAACCGGTCCCTGGTGCCAGAAAGGCTGGACACCACTGGACTAGAACTCAGTAAAATATAATCTCCATTCTCAAGGAATTCAAGTTTAAGCTGTCCATTTGTTTGCTACTAAAAGAGTGTTAGAACTTGACACTTATGTAACACACAACTTGTTTCGTGTTTTATGAAGGTACAGATTTAATCACTGGCCTGTCCTTGCTGTTGTCGTGTTGTGTTAAGTCACTTCCGTCGTGTCTGATTCTTTGTGACCCTATGGACTGTAGCCCACCAGGCTCCTCTGTCCGTGGGATTCTCTAGGCAAGAATACTGGAGTGGGTCGCCATGCTCTTCTCCAGGGGACCTTCCAGACCCGGGATTTAATCAATGGCCTGTCCTTAGACATGCTAACACCCTTGATTCTACCCTCTCCCTCCAATTTCAGAGTGCTTCAGCTTGGAAGTTTTACATAAACATATTCTAAAGTCTTGCTTTTCGAGTATGGTCTGTGGCCCAGCAGCATGACTATCGCCTGGAGCTTGTTAGAAATGCAGACTCTAGGGCCCACCCCTGATAGGCTGAATTAGAATCTGAAGTTTAAAAAAGAAATCCACATGTTGATTCATACACGCACTAATTAGGTCGGAGAAGCCCCGCACTGAAGCAGTCAAGGGTCTTTACTCTGTGCTTTGGGGTGCCATTTCTCCAGGTCAGAGAATCGACGTGATTAAAAATTTCTTGATGTGAAAGAGCAGACAGTAGTTGCCACATCACAATTACAAACGCAAGTAAAACACAGTTGTGAAATGTGACAATCAGCCTCTGCATTAATACATTTCCAGTGGAATCAGCTTCTCTCAAATATTGAGACTGATTTTCAGTTGATTAAAAAATTCTAGCCTTGGATGAGCAAAGTCCTCTTTTGTTCCTCTTGTTCCTCAAAAATCCATAATGGTTCTGTGTAGCAGTTTTATATACATCAGAGGGACTGAAAATTATTCTTTCAATAACCCCTCATCTTAGGAAAACATGAATTTGTAATGAAAATGGCCTCATTTCTTTGAGAAATTCTAGTGCTTCAACACACCCTACCGTTCTAAAAGAATCAGATTCAACTTGACTTTAATGAAGCAGATCGTACAAGCTGCTTTATTTTATGAGTACAGATCCCAATGGAACTTAGGAGAAAATTGATATTGAGAGGAAAGAAACAATCCAGAGAAAAGTCTTTTCCTCCCCTCCAAAAAACCCAGGTCTCTTTTCAACGTAAAAGAGAAAGGAAAAAACAGAAGAATGAAGGAAAAAGAGGAAGAAAGAAATTCAACCCCAACTATCTACTTGAATTACAGCTCTGAAAAATACATACCAAATTTTCATTATTTCCAGATTTAGTTCACTCCTCAAATTTCTAAGTGTGGCTTCTTTGGGAAGTAAATGTCAAGATTCTAAAAGTACCAGGGCATGTTTCTATATCCAGTTCAGCCAGGCAAACCTGGTGGGTCTGATCCCAGTAAGAGACCTTTGAATTCACTATGGTTTCCTAATAATCTAGGGAGAAGCATGCATGCGGTTTAGTAACTGACTGGGGGGCCTCCCGGGTGCCTCTGGGACTTTGAGAACAACACTTAGAAGATTTCTGTGACGAACTTTGATGGAAACTTTCTTTCTCTGACCTTTACCGGTACTTTTTAGTCTGTTAGGTCATGTAACTGGCATGATTTTGTTACTTGTGATATGCAGCATTTTCTACACTCCAGGTTTTTAAACCATCCTGAACTTTAAAAGAAACAAGAAACAGGAATAAAATTCTTATTCAAGGTCTCCTGAGACAGCAAGGCCTGTCACAATCATTTTTTTTTCTAAATTAGAAGCGAAAATGACACTGGATATGTTAAGATTCAAGATACTTGGTTAAAAGGCCTAAAGTAATTCTATGGAGCTTATGAATTATTAATGACAATATGAAAAGCCAGTTTTTGAACAAAGAGTTGAATTATAACCCAAGTGCATTTAATGATGAAAATACATAAGAAACCAATAAAATGTTTCATGAAAACAAAATAGTGTTGTTTGATGGATGAAATGGATATATTAAATTATGGATTAAAGCTGGGGAAAGAAAGACTGTTGGAAGTTGAAGGGTGTATTTTTTTTTTCACATCCTATGAGCTGCCAAGATAGATTCCACTAGGCATTAGTCTAAATCACCACAGTAAGGCTAATTGCCTTAGGCAAAAGAGTTGCAAATAGGATAAAAAAATGAAGATAAAATTTAGGTATTGTGGCCTGTGACAAATACTTTCTCTTACCCCAAAGGTTGAGAGATCAACTGAAGTATATACTTGGTGGCTATAATGTCAGAATGTTAGGTATAACTGGATCATGGCTATTCAGAGAGATAACTTGTTTTGGGGGGAAGTAAACTCCATGACATGAGGAACCCTAGTGGGATGGAAGTTTGGACTTAGATGGGATTACCATAATAGAACTCCATGGGAAATAAGTCCCACATACATGCTTCTGGAACAGTAATGGCCAATGTCATTTGCAAAGCATCCTCCAGCCTGTATGTGACTCCAAAATTAAGTGGTTGTCATGAGAATGGAGAGGGAAGCAACTCGTGCAAAAGTATTCTATCTTAACATCATCACTCCTTCTAATAAGCTTGGCTTTGACCATTCCAGAACCATGGATATTGGGTAAGGACTTGGTCTACCCCGTCTTTTGAGTCTCTCTGAAAAATAGTGCAACCCAAGCAAACTGAACTGCAAAATACAGCTTTCACATGATGATGGGTAGCTTTCCAAGGACTAGAAATAGACATGCTCAGCGCTTTTACAGTAGATGCCAAATGAAGAAAGTTGAGTTCTTTGTCCTTCACTAATCTCTCCTCTAGCTTTCACCCGAGATAGCACCAACACATTTTGTGACA